TAATTAGGCACAGAGTCTTTTCCTTTTACACATCTCTTCACTTAGCCACTTGTCCAAATCCTATATTAGGAAAGTCAACAAAGGGAAGAGATAAAAACCCATTTCTAAGCTTTTAAAGTTTTCCCCTGAGTTCTCTTGAGAACTAGGACTCAAAACCATATAGATGCTGCTCCCTTTAAGATAAAAGGAGATACTGTTACTCCACAAGGTGAGTAAATCATAATAAATCTAAGACTCAGAACAAGATGAGCATTAGCAAGAGACCAGAGAGCAAGTCTGGAGAATCTGAGGATTAGCCAATTGCTCCCTAATGTCAAACCAAGACCCAGTAGAAATAATCATTCTGACATCTGACAGAAGAAGTCAAAGGTCAGGATTTAATGTCACCATAGTCTGATTCCCCAACTTCACTGAGCAGGTGCTTAATAAGGCATGATTATTTGTTATGTTTAAAGAGCTCAGAGCAAAGTAAGATGTAGAATTACAAGAGAGGATTATTCCTGTCTCTATTATTCTGGTGAGAACACTGTAACCTTTATGTTAATGACAGTTATGTTAAGGTCATTACTTTGTCATAGTTGATTTCTCTGCCTAAGGAAAATATGGAATGCAAACATATTATATTACATGGAACTAGTAATGTCACTGATGAGTCTTCAGTGATTATGAAGGATAAGAAAGAATTTAGGGTCAGCAGAAAGAGCTCTGGGTGATCAGATAAAAATGCATTTTACTGAAATTTCTAAGTGAAAAGTTTGTGTAAAGCAAGCAGAAATTTTCACACAACCATCACAATTTATCCATGAGAAGAAAGAGAACAAGAGCAAGCACAAGATAGAAGAGAGAGTCAGATCTTTCCACCGCAAATGTAAATAATGCTGTGACCATAAGAAGTTTCGGTTAACGAGAACTTCTTTAAGTATAACAAGCATAACATCAAGGATTAAAAATATTTCTTAGTAGGACTCAATTTTTGTCCTTAAAAGTTGTTTATATAAACAAGTTTAACACTGAAACAATGAACAAAATGGGCAGGGGCTCAGGAATCCAAAGTGCCTGGGTTTGTAGCCCACGTTCCCCACTTGCTGAGGAATCCTTGCTTGAGCATGTTTCTTAACTTCTGTATCTCTGTTACTTTGGAGTGACAGTACACGGTTATGAGAATTAATAGTGACAACCTTCATGAAATAAATACTTGTTGAAGACTGAACCAACACTCAAGAACACTAGTCTCCAAGTCTCTTGGTGTTTATGCCATTGTGTATTTTCCTTCCGTCTTGAATCTGCTGGCTCCATGACTCACATTAAATAATAAATCTTTAAACAATAACATTGAAACAGTACACAAGTGACCCTGTGGCAAGTCTTACATCTAATCCTTAAGAAGGTCTAGAAGGTTCTATTTTGAGCTCTGGGGAGCCCTGAACCACAGATATATTAAATCTGGCCATCTTCCTGGAGAGACCACAAGCAGAGGTCCTGAGGCTTCAGGGCAGGAGAGAGAGGCCTAGTTCAGCCTGGTCTTCCAGCTCTCCCAGCCGAAGAGCCAGAACTGTGATAAGGCCATTTTGGATACTCCAGCCCCAGTGGTTCTCTAACATCATCAGCATGAGAGACATAAAGCAAGAATAGAAAATTATTGCAAGGTCAACTCAAAGCATTATGAGATATAATAAGTTATTGTTATTTTAAGGCAATAATTTTGGGGGGAAAGGGTAGTTTGTTATACAATAGATCATAGAAACCAACAACAAGGAACACATTTGGAGTTATCCTGTTCAGTGAGGTTAAGCACTTGAAATGTAGCTTGCAAGCCTGAGAAATGAAATTTTGCATTTTTTTAAATCGCACTTCGCTTTACTTTTTGATTTTCTATTTTATATAGGAGTATAGATGATTAATGATCTGACATGATGAGCTGATGATTGCAGATCATCAGCTTTTACAGTAAAATTCAGGCTTTAGTTAAAGAAAGCAGGGAAACCACTAGTCCAGTCAAGTATGACCTAAATCAAATCCCCTCTGAGTACACAGTGGAGGTGATGAATAGATTCAAGGAATTGGTAAACACAGTGCCTGAGAACTATGGTGTTGTCACTCACCTAGAGCCAGACATCCTAGAGTGTGAATTCTAGTAAGCCTTAGGAAGCACTGCTGCCAATTAAGATAGCGGAGGTGATGGAACTCCAGCGGAGCTGGAGCTAAAATCCTAACAGATGATGCTATTAAAGTGCTGCACTCATTACGTCAGCAAATTTGGAAAAGCCAGAAGTGGCCACAGGACTGGAAAAAGTCAACCTTTACCCCAATTTTCCAGAAGGGCAGTACTAAAAAATATTCATACTCCTGGACAATTGTACTCATTTCCCATGCTAGTAAGGTTATGTGCAAAATACTTCAAGCCAGGTTTCAGCAGTAAGTGAACCAAGAACTTTCAGATGTACAAGGTGGGTTTAGATAAGGCAGAGGAATCAGAGATGAAATTGTCAACATTTTCTGGATCATAGACAAAGCAAAGGAATTCTAGAAAAACATCTACTTCTGTTTCATTGATTATGCTAAAGTCTTTGACTGTGTGGATCGTAACAAAGTGTAGAAAATTCAATGAGATGGGAATACCAGGCCACCTTATTGGTCCCCTGAGAAACCTGTATGCAGGTCAAGAAGCAACAGTTAGAAATTTATATGGAAAAACTGACTGGTTTAAAATTGAGAAAGGAGTCCAAAGAAGCTATATATTGTCACCCTGCTTATTTAACTTATATGCAGAGAACATCACCCAAATGCCAGGCTGGATGAGTTACAAGATGGATTCAAGATTGCTGGGAGAAATACCAATAATCTCAGATATGCAAACAATACCACTCTAATGACAGAAAGTGAAGAGGAACGAAAGAGCCTTTTGATGAGGGTGAAAGAAAAGAGTGAAAAAGCAAGCTTAAAACTCAATATTAAAAAAACTAAGATCATGGCATTCAGTCCCATTACTTCAGGTCAAATAGAAGGGGAAAAGGTAGAAGCTGTGACAGATTTCCTCTACCTGCACTCTAAAATCACTGTGGATGGTGATTGCTGCCATGAAATTAGAATGACTGCTTCTTGGCAGAAAGCTATGACAAACTGAGACAGTATTAAAAAGCAAAAACATCAGTTAGCCAACAAAGGTACATATAGTAAAAGCTATATTTTTTCCAGTAGTCATGTATGGATATAAGAGGTGGACCATAAAGAAGGCTTAGGGCTGAAGAAGAGATACTTCTGAACTGTGGTGCTGGAGAAGATGCTGGAAAGCCCCTTGGATAGTAAGGAGATCAGACCAGTCAATCCTAAAAGAAATTAACCCTGAATATTCATTGTACAGACTGATGTTGAAGCTGAAGCTCCAATACCTTGGCCACCTGATGCAAACAGCTGACTCACTGGAAAATATCCTGATGCTAGGAAAGATTGAGGACAGGAGGAAAAGAGGGTGACAGAGGATGAGATGGTTGGATGGGATCACCGATTTAATGGACGTGAACTTGGGCAAACTCTGGGAGATAGTGAGGGACAGGGAGGCCTGGTGTGTTGGAGTCCATGGGCTTGCAGAGTTGGATATGACTTGGTGACTGAACCACAAGTAGATGATTAATAGTGTTATGTTAATTTCAGATGTACAGCAAAGTGATTCATACACATATGTGTATATATGTGTGTACATGTATATATACACACGTGTATCTATTTTTCAAGTTCTTTTCCCATTTAGATTGTTAGATAATATTGAGCAGAGTCCCTTGTGTTATACAATAGGTCCTTCCTTGTTGGCTATCCATTTTAATATAGCAGTGTGAACATGGCAGTCCCAAACTCTCAGTCTATACTTCCCCCATACATAACTGTAAGTTCATTATCTAAGTCTGTGAGTTTGTTTCTATTTTGCAAATAAGTTCACTTATCATTTTTTATTCTGTGTATATATACATATATATATACACACACACATATATGGAAGATATGATGCATATATACAATGGACTATTACTCAGCCATTAAAAAGAATGAAATAGTGCCATTTGCAACAACACAGATGGATCTAGAGAGTGTCATATTGAGTGAAGTAAGTCAGACAAAGACAAATATCATATAATATTGCTTAAATATGGATAATTTTGAATTTTATAATCTAATTAATTTAAACTTAAAAGCTGTAGCAATGTACTTTTTTTCCCCACTGAACACAACTTCACTTAGTTAGGGTGATGTTTCACTTTGAGCATTATTTGTAGTGTTGTTATTAGATTGTAGTTCTATCATGACCTGTGTCATCTACAATTACACATATTATCAAGAAAAGATTGTGATAAATGTTGCTAATAATATTTATGTCAATTAATTATTGAAATGATATTATTTTGGATATATATTGTGTGTATGTGTGTGTATGTGCTCAGTGTATGAGCTCAGCGTATGTGCTCAGTCAGTCATGTCTGACCCTTTCTGACTCCATGGACTGCAGTCCACTAGGCTCCTCTGTCCATCAGATTTTTCAGGCAAGAATACAGAAGTGAGGTGCCCTTTCTTCTTCCAGGGGAACTTCTCAACCCAGGGATTGAACTGCTATCTTCTATGACTCCTGCATTGGCAGGTGGATTCTTTATCACTGAGACACTTGGGAAGATTCATGAATATATTAGGCTACATAAAATGAAATGCATTATTAACATTAATTTCACTTATTTCTTTGTAGTTTTTGAAATGACTTCTAGGAAAAAAAATCACATATGTGGTTTACATTATATTTCTATTTGACAGAATTGTTATAAGGGATTAATCATAGAGCTGTCTTAAAGTAGACTTTGAGCTTTAGAACAGTTTGAGGCCCCATATGCCCCATACACAATTTCCATTAGTATTAACATCTTGCATTAGAATGGTTCATTTGTTACAATGAATAAACTAATGTTTGTATATCATTATTAACTAAACTAATTCTTATTCAGATTTCATTAGTTATTTACCAGTGTCCTTGTCTTTTCCAGGGCCCCATTCAGGATATGAGATTATATTTAGTGCTCATGTCTACTTAGGTTCTTCTTGGATGTGACAGTCTTTCAGACATTCTTGGTGGTCCTTGAAATGGTGGTCCTCAAAAATAAATTTCCATGTTTTAATTCCTGAAGTCTGTGAATGTGTCTTTACTGGAAGAATAGTCTTTTCAAGTCTACACTCCAACCACTAATGCCAAAGAAGTTGAAGTTGAATGGTTCTACAAAGACCTATATGACATTCTAGAACTAACACCAAAAAAAAAAAAAAAAAAAAATGTCCTTTTCATCATAGGGGGCTGAATTGCAAAAGCAGGAAGTCAAGAGATACCTGGAGTAACAGCAAGTTTGGTCCTGGAGCATAAAATGAAGCAGGGCAAAGCCAACAGAGTTTTGCCAAGAGAACGCACTGGTCACAGCAAACACACTCGTCCAACAACAAAGAGCTGACCCTATACACAAATATCACCAGATGGTCAATACTGAAATCAGACTGATCATATTCCTTGTGGTCAAAGATGGAGAAGCTCTATACAGTCAGCAAAAACAAGACCAGGAGCTGACTGTGGCTCAGATCATGAATTCCTTATTTCAAAATTCAGACTTAAATTGAAGAATGTACGGAAAACCACTAGGCCATTCAGGTATGACCTAAGTCAAGTCCCTTATGATTATACAGTGTAAGTGAGAAATAGATTTAAGCAATTAGAGCTGACAGAGTATCAGAAGAACTATGGACAAGGTTCATAACACTGGACAGGAGGCAGTGATCAAAATCATCCTCAAGAAAAATAAAGGCAAAATGGTTATCTGAGGAGGCTTTACAAATAGCTGAGGAGAGAAGTGAAAGTCAAAGGAGAAAAGGAACAATCTATCCATCCAAATGCAGAGTTCCAAAGAATAGCAAGGAGAGATAAGAAACCCTTCTCAAGTGAGCAATACAAAGAAATAGAGGAAAATAAGAGAATGGGAAAGACTAGAGATCTCTTCAAGAAAATTAGAGACATCAAGGGAATATTTTCTGCAAAGATGGACACAAAAAAAGGACAGAGACTGTAATAACCTAACAGAAGAAGAGAAGATTAAGAGGTGGCAAGAATACATAGAAGAACTATATATAACAGGTATTAATGACCCAGACAACCACAATGGTGTGATCACTCACCTAGAGCCAGACATGCTGGAATGCAAAGTCAAGTCGGCCTTAGGAAGCATTACTACCAACAAAGCTAGTGGAGGTGATGGAATTTCAGCTGAGTTATTTAAAACCCTAAAAGATGATGCTGTTAAAGTGCTGTACTCAACATGCCAGCAAATTTGGAAATCTCAGCAGTGACCACAGGACTTGAAAAGGTCAATTTTCATTCAAATCCCAAAGAAAGGCAATGTCAAAGTGTGTTCAAAGTACCACACAATTGTGCTCATTTCAACTACTAGCAAGGTTATGCTCAAAATTCTTCATACTCGGCTTTAGCAGTACATGAATCAAGCACTTCCAGATGTACAAGCTGGATTTACTGAAGCTGAGGAACTAGGTATCAAACTGCCAACATCTACTGGGTTATAGAAAAAGCAAAGGAATTCCAGAGAAACTTCTACTTCTGCTTCATAGACTTCACTGAAGCCTTCAACTGTGTGGATCACAACAAACTATGGAAAATTCTTAAACAGATGACCTTACTACTAAGAAACCTGTATGCAGGTCAAGAAGCAACAGTCAGAACTGAATATGGAAAAACAGACTTCTTCCAAATTGGGAAAAGAGCACTTCAAGGCAGTATATTGTCACCTGCTTATTTAACTTCTATGCAGAGCACATCATGAGAAATGCTGGGCTGGAAGAAGCACAAGCTGGACTCACGATTGCAGGGAGAAATATCAGTAACCTCAGATATGCAGACGACACCACCCTAATGACAGAAAGTGAAGAGGAACCAAAGAGCCTCTTGATGAAAGTGAAAGAGGAGAGTAAGAAAGCTGGTTTAAAATTTAACTTTCAAAAAAACTAAGATCAGGGCATCCAGTCCCATCACTTCATGGCAAACAGATGGGGGAACAATGGAAACAGTGACAAACTTTACTTTCTCGGGCTCCAAAATCATTGAGGACCATGACTGCAGCCATGAAATTAAAAGACACTTGCTCCTTGGAAGAAAAGCTATGACAAATCTAGACAGCATATGAAAAAAGAGACATCACTTTGCCGACAAAGATCCTTATGGTCAAAGATGTGGTTTCTCCAGTAGTCATGTATGAATGTGAGGTGTGAACCATAAAGTAGGCTGAGCGCTAAAGAATGGATGCCTTCAAACATTGATGCTGGAGAAGACTCTTAAAAGTCCTTCGGGTAGTACGGAGTCAAAGCTGTCAATCCTAAAAGAAATCAACCCTGAACATTTATTGGAAGGACTGATGCTGAAGCTGAAGCGCCAATACTTTGGCCACCTGATGCAGAGAGACATTAGAAAAGACTCTGATGCTGGGAAAGATTAAGGGCAGGAGCAGAAGTGGATGACAGAGGATGAGATAGTTGGATGGCATCACCAATTCAATGGACGTGAGTTTGAGCAAATCTGGGAGATAGTGAAGGACAGGGAAACCTGGTGTGCTATAGTAGATGGGGTCTCAAAGAGTTGGATACAACTGAGTGACTGAATAACAACCAGTGGAAGATCCCAGGTGAGATTTTCCTGAATTATATGAGCAGGCCCTCAATCCAATTACAAGTGTCCTTATGTGAGGCAAACAAAGAAGACACAAATAGAGAAAGAAGCAGCAATGTGATCACAGAGGCAGAGATTGGAGTGATGCCACCACAAGCACAGGAATGCAGAAGCTGGAAAAGTCAAGGGACAGAATATCTCCTAGAACCTCTTTGGGAGAACGGCACTGCCAATTCACTGAGAAATTAAAACAATGACTTTGACAGTTTTGACAGTACCAGTCAGGTTTTTTTCCTCACATGCCTTCTATTGGAATTTGGCTGATGTTTTTCTCATCGCTAAAATGGGGATATGCATTCCTGGAAGGAAAACCACAGATAAAGTACACAGTGTATCAAATGCACATACTATCAACATGATTTATCACTGCTGATATTGACCTTGATCATCTGGTTCAGGTAGTATTTCCCCACTATTAAGTTACTTATTTTCCCCCTCCTTTGCATACTGTATTCTTTGGGAGGTATTGTGACAAGTCAAAATAAGACTTAAAATCAAAAGGGAAGGAAGAAATGGCCATGAGAGTTTCTGAAAGGAAGGCATAGATACTGAATGACTAGTGATGTTGGGAAAAAATAGATTAATAACAACCATGATGTAAAACTAGTGGGATCACACTTGAAAAAGAGGGGAGAACTTTACTTCTCTGAAATATGAAGAAACAAATGAAAGGGAGGTAAAAGAGATAGACATTGATTAGGTAATGCAAAGAAAGACTGAAGACCTCATAGAGGTCTCTTCTCAAGAAAACAAAATTCACTTCAACAAGTACTGAGATTTACTATATATCAGACTTTGAACTTAGATTCTGAAGGATCCAAATTTAGAATATTTAATTTGTCTTAAGGCTTCCCTTGTAGCTCAGAAGATGTTTATCACTTGAAAATAAAGAATATCATATGAATAAGGTATAAAAATAAATATAGCAATGTAGGGATATTTTAAAAGAACAGGAGAAAGTAATATTCACATCCCTCTGAAACTCAGGAAAGTTTCCAAAGATTAGCTGGTATTTGAGAGAAAAACCACTAACCACAAAAACTGACATGGTAGAATGACCTAAAAATAATTGTCAAAATAGTTCTCAACTTTGCAGTTTCTGAAATGCTATTTGTCACTGACCCAGAATTGATTAGACTTGGGGATAGAATTCAAGCCAAGAAAAATCATAAAAATATAAACCAGACTGAAAAGTATTAATTATATTGAGAACTAAAACTGTCAGACAAGCTCTATGTGGAAAAGTTATATGAAAAATTGAAATCTTAAAAGATGGTTTGATAAACTTTGAATGGGAGAATGGAGTATTTGTTTTTTACATGAGTTCAGTGTGTAAGATCATTAACCTGGCAAGCTTCAGTTGCATGGTCTTTGAAAAATGAGAATAGAAATAGCTCTTACATCAAAGGCTCAAATGAAGGAAGGCATGCTCAGCACAGGGTCTGGAACATAATAAACTCCCAGGAATTATTATCATTACTATGACCGTTATATTTGTTTAGTCATCAATTTCCTTCCCTATCCTGCTTTCCTTCAAGATGGCAGCCATATCATACTCATTTATGCCCCTCAAGTGGCCAAGAAAATGCTTGTCATCAAGAAGAAATGCAATAATCAGCTTATTCCACTTAATTAAAAAGGAGCTGATTATGTCAAAGAACAAGAAATAAAAATAATTTAGAAATTGATAGAAACAATGTGCTTCAAATGAATTTGCTCCTTAAAAAAAAGGAAAACATAAAATATGTAACCATTTGAAAAAATATCTTATTAAAAGCAATTTTAAGGCTCTTAAAGGTATACACGAAAAAATGTATACATGAATAAGTTGTAATTCCCTTTATAGCAATACTATGTCCTGTTCTTGATTAAATGGAAAGAAGGATAAGCATAAGGGAGTGGGGTTGGGGTAGCTGTGGTTTGGAGACTAGGTTACTATTTATAAGTAAGAATGGAAGAGGTGTCATAAAGTTAAACTAGGGAGGTCCAGTACTAACTAAATCATGGGATTGTCTCTATGGACTGACTTAAACCCTTTAACAATTTCTCTGTTTTATTCTCTCCATCTGTTTTACCAGACTATCTGGAGGATTATTCAGTTAATGTTGAAGACTATATTTATCAGCTCCACAAAATGTCTGTTATTTAATGAGTGAGCTCTAAATGATGCCATGGGAGTATCATAGGGACCAGCAACAGCATTATTGTCAGTTGAGTCCTTCAGAGACCCACAGGACAAAATATGATATGCCATACTCACAGCACTTGGAATTGTGTTTCAATAATTATTTCTCCCTTTTACTCCTCCAAGGCAATTGAGTTTTCCACTTTGTGGGCTTAAGAAGCAATTTGGTTTTTATGATGGTAGAAATTTGGAGAGGCCTCAACATTATCCTGAAAATGATTCTGTCAAATAGAAATTATAGTGACATGGTGCACTACAAGTGATAAC